TTAGGACTAAGGTGTGAATTGAGTTTAGGTTAGTTATAGGGTTGTGCAGGTTTAAAATTAACCTGTGAGGTTAATTTTAGGTTAAATGGTCAGGGTTAGTATATAAGATTACCAAAATATAAATTGGAAGTCAATGGAAAGTCCCCACAAGGATAGAGAAACATAGTATATGTGTGTGTTAAAGTCAACAATCAAGAGAAAACTACACCAGCGTAAGAACAGAGGCTTCCCTACAGGATGGACACTGTTGGTGAGCCTCAGAACCAGGAAGTCCAAATTAGAGTCCTCAAACATGTAAAAAGTCTTTCCAGTTCTGGAACATCCTGTGGACAACCTGCACCAGCGTGATGCTCCTGATCCAAACCACACCACTTCATCAGTGAAGCATAAAGCGTCATGGTGTGGGCCTGTGTGGCTGCCAGCGGAGCTGGTTCTTGTGTATTAATTGATGATGTGATGCTGACAGAAGCAGCAGGATGAATTCTGCTCATATTCAGCCAGATGATTCAGAACTCATTGGACAGAGCATCACAGTGCAGATGGATAAGGATCCTGGGCAGACTGCCAAAACAAGGTAAAGTGAAACCACAGTGCTGTGACCACCTTAAAACTGAATCCTATTGAGCTGAATTTCACCTGCTGAAGACTACCTGGTAAACTGACGGAAAATGCTCAAAGAGCAAACCTGAAGTGAAGGCAGCTGCAGTTGAAGTCTGGCAGAACATCAGCGGGGATGAAACCCAGAGTCTTCTGATGTCTGTATTCCAGAGGCCAGAGGTTGGGCTAGGGCTGACTTCAGAGGAACCAAATATTAAAAAGTTAGTTTATTTATAATTGCTCGTTCATCCCATTACTTTTGATTCTTAAATAAAGGGAGGCACACCTAACAGTCTAACACTAACTGCTAAAAACAAGGCAACTGTGTCTCAATATGTTAACCTGTTTGTTTCTTTTAGATGGAGAGAAATGGAGATAGAAATCAGAAAAAGACAGAAACAACCAAATCGTAGAGAAAAGCTTGGCAACATTTATCCAGACAGCCTGAAGACAAAGAGCATGATCCTACAGAGGCTCATCAAACAAAGCTTTTTATCATTCAGTGTAAAACAGCATGCTTTTACAACAGACAAACAAACAAACACAAACGCAATACAATCAAAGGTCAGAAGTCAGCTACTGTTCAGTTTAATGATCAACATTCTGCTTCCAGAAACCTTCCCCTGATAAACCTGCTGAGTCTGTTCAAGCTGCAGTTCACTTCAGCAGTGCATCACACCTGCTCAGCAGTGGGATGGTCATACTCAGGTAGGACTCAGGTAGTACTCAGGTAGTACTCATCAGCACAGAGTGTAGAGAAAGAGGCTGGTTTCCATCTAAGCTACAAGCTAATGAGCCAAACAATTTTATTTTTCAGGCTTATTAAACAACTATTTTTCAAAACTATTAAGCTGTCATGAGAGAATGCTACATTAGGTGAAACAAAACCTTTGCATGATATTTGTTTTACTCTGTGACTGTAGATTAGCTTGATCTGAACATTTCAGTCCATCTAAAGACCACATCTGTCTTAAGTCTAGACTTGTTTCATAAGCCTGAAAAATAATAAACAGGCACTTGTTTGGTCATCCATCAGCTCAAATGACCAGACTGTTTTTTAGCTGTAGTCAGATCCCCCCAAGGAGGACCCTGGTTCTGGTCAGAACATATTAAACAAGGTGGTTCAGATTCTCAGCTGAAAGAAGAACCAGACGTGTTGCTTTAACCTGGGGTCCTGTCAGTAAGGTCTGCTGAGCCGAGTCCTAATCACAAAACCTGCTGACAACCGTTGATGTTTTCACTGAAACCTGTTTGTGAAGTACATTCTTCCTGTAATACTCCAGGTAACATGGCACAACCGGGTGCTGTCACATCTCTTAGGTCTTCCTTCACACAAGATGGACCACATACCTCCATTGTGGTGGTATTTGCAGGGAAGGCCTTCAGGTGCAGAATGCAGTGTGCTGATGTTAGTATCTGAGGTGCTAAGTGGAGCATGGTGGCAGTATGTTCATGATGTGGGGTCTGGGTGCACTAGTCATCATATGAAGTAGGACCACCTTGTATCTAGACCACGATCAGGATCCGGGCCACACGGGAGTCACCCGCGGGTTTGCCTGTATCAAGACGACACAGGAGTTTTGTCCGGGGGATACCCAGGGGAGCGTGGTCTAACAGCATCACCATGAGAACATGCTGCTGACACTCGGGCACCAGATTCACTGTTTGCATGACGTTTTTAAATAATTAACCTATTTCACAAAGGCCTTGCAAAGAGACATTTGCATCTCCATCTTGGCACTTGACTCTGTGATGGACTTACGAGAGACTCACTCACAACTAGGGACAATTTAGAGTTACCAATTAACTTCACATTATTTTGGCTTGTACGAAGTAAACAAAAATGTGTGTAATACTGTGGTTCTGTTTTATATTCAGAACGAAAAACTGTTGGCATGGTGGCTCAGTTGGTAGAGCTCTTGTCTCTCAACAAGACGGTCGCCGGATTGTATCCCAGTCTGGGGACCTTTCTGGGTAGAATTTGCATGTTCTTTCCTTTTTTCCAGGTACTCTGGCTTTCTCCTATAGACCAAGAGCATGACTGTTGGGTTATGTTTTATGGTAAAAGAGGATGGATAAATAACCCATATGAGTGAGGGCCTCCTCATAAGTGGGCCCAATGCTCTGCCCAAAAAAGAACCCCTGGTCTTTATTCAAACCTTGGTGTCCCTCTGATGAAGGACACAAGGTTAGAAACACTCAGTGTTCTGAGCTTCTCAGGATCCATAAAGGGTTCCCCAAGAATTCTTTTCCTTTGACTGCTCAGAACCAGGCAGTGGTCTAAGTAGTGCAAAGAGGTCTCTAATTCAATGCCACATCACACAGACCATTATCATGGAGTCCCATCACCATTTTGTAGCAATTGCCAGGGACATGAGAGCTTTCCCAAACCTACGATTTGGGCCATTTATCAATTCCTGACTGTTAGGTTAACTGGTAACTCTAAATTGTCCCTAGGTGTGAGTGAGAGTGTATGGTTGTTTGTCTCTGTCCCTGTGATGGACTTGCGACCTGTCCAGGGTGTACCCCACCAGTGACCCTGAAAGGATGAAGTGGGTATAGATAATGGATTGATAAAAAAACTTATGATCATGGAGCACTTCAACAGACTGTAAATCACAACCCACAGAGGGTTAGAAAAGGACATGAAAGTCATTTTTGTGGGTCCTAAGGTCCTAGATTTAAGTGTGTGTATCTTGTGGTCCAGATTTATTCTTTGTCAATTTTTATTAAGTGAAGATAAAGAGGCAGTGATGATCAAAGAAGCTAAAAATGTCTTGTAGTCAATTAGAACCCCCTCCTGCCTGATCCTTTGTTTGATGTGTTCATGGCAGACAGTCAGGCTGTGCAGGGACACTGAACATGTTGGCCCAACAGTGACTTGCTTTGTGAATAGGAGTCAGGAACAGAGCAGACTTTGGAACTAGATGGGGCAAACATGATGTCAGTGAATCTGGACTTCAGTCAGGGGTCAGGTACTTAGAAAATAGCAGAAAAATCATTATGTTGGGTATTTAGAGTGTTGCAGAGGGGTGCATTTCTTCACTCTGAAGGTTTTCCAAGACTGCAGTGATCCAGTCAGTGAATGTTATCCTGTGTGAAGGAGACCTTAACGAGCAGTTATGGAAATATGTCTTATTTAGTGGTATTACTTTACCACAACTGCTGGAAAACATTCTCAGCTAGCAGGACTGTGATGTCAAAATCAAACCTTATGAGCCAACCAATACTGTCCAATATGTAAATGACAGAATACTAAAAAAGAGCAGCATGGTCCAAAACTGGCAAAGAAATTCCTGGCTACATTTCTTTACAGAAACTACACAATATTCATTCTGAAAACTAGGCCTGAACTTTACTGATCAAACAGAAGGCAAACATACTCAAATTCAAAAGTCTAAATATTTCAGCGTTGCTACAAACATGTAGGTTTATTAAAATTAATAAACGCCTCATTACCATCAATGCCATCATTTTAAGACAAAAACTACAGATAGATTTAAATAAATACATAAATAATATAAATAAAACCTGTAAATGTTTAAATGAACTGAAGTAATAAATTAGATAAAAAAATCACTGAACCAAAATTTTCGTGAGAAAAAGCAGCTCAGTTCAAGGCCGATCATTTTTATGGCACGGTCCTATAAAGGCTGTCACTTTGAAGCACTGTTCATCAAAAAAGAAAAGAATTACTTGAACAAATGGGCTCTGCCAAACCCACTCAGTCATCCAGGTTGCTCCATTGTGCACAAAGTTTTTAAATAAACTCATGAATCCTTCAAGTTCCATGAAGTTCCTTCAGCTTGAGAAAAAAAGAAAGTGTTTTTTGATCTTTTCAGATGAACCACTCCTTTTTGCTCTCATCGATGGTTTCGGTGAAGGCCGGGTCGTTGACGATGATGGCTGCATCGGCACAATCTGCTGACTCTGCTCCCTTGGCTTCGTTGGTGTGGTACGAACCTTTGTGACGGAACATGTGTCGGATCACAAACACCAGGATGCACAGGACGATGAACATCACCGCGGAGACGATGCCTGAACACAAAGATTTATTAGCTACTGTTTTATGCCTCAGCTGTTAGAACATGTGAAGCATTCTGAGGGGATTCATGGACAGATTGTTAGATTTTATAATCTTACTTCTAACATAAAAGCTCTCAACAACCAATCTCAATCTTATATTAAATTTTCTGTCCGTGAGGCTAACACTGTTTACTTTTAAGATTAGACTGAAGACTTTCCTTTTTGATAAATCCTATAGTTAGACTTAGGTTTCCTGAGTTATTCCTTAGTTCTGCTGCTATAGGCTTAGACTGCTGGAGGACAAACCGACCACATTTCCTCACTCGGCTGCTGTTTCTGTAAGATATTTTATTGACTTCTATTGAGTCTTAAATGTACTGTATTTCCCTAACCCATTAACTTTAACTTAACCCAAGATAAAGTTTTGTAAAACTACAGTGCATATTAAGCTTTACTGTCGAAAGTTAGAGCAGATTTGTTAAACTTTATTTACCCCCAATTACAGCAAAGTTGTGATCCACATTATCACCCCTTGGTTTTTCCTCTTTGAAGGGGAAAACAGCTCCAACTGTAAAACAAAACAAAACAAGCCAAACTTGGTTTTCATTTGAATTGCAACGCACATTTTTATATCTAGTATTTTAATGCTAGTTGGTGCAGCAGTGTTCAAGTACCAAGCAAAACTTCTCTTGCAAGGGAGACAAAAGATTTTTACTTTACTTACATGCACATTTACATGTGCAAAATTCAAATTCAGATCAGAGTATTCCAATTGGGGCATTTATATGATGTATTTTTATTCTGTTTGTTTATTCCGACCAATTATGTCCATGTAAACATGGCACGTGTGTTTGTGGCCTTGGTTTTTCTACATCGTGGGGACAATTTCCCCCCAAAAAAAGCAGCCTCGTGGGGACCGAAGTGCATTGTGGGGACCAATGCCCAGTTCCCACGGGTCCAAATGCAAATTACGGGTGTGGGGTTAGGCTTAGGACCAAGGTTTAGGTTAGTTTTAGGGTCAGGTAGGTACCTGTGAGGTTAATTTTATGGTAAATGGTCAGGGTTAGACTATAAATCTAAAAAAATGAATGGAAGTCGATGCACGGTCCCCACAGGGTTTAAGAACAAACATCTGTGTGTGGGTTCAGCTTTGGTGACATTTGGGGGCAATTTTAAGACAAAAATCCTACATTTGGGGACAA